TCATCATCATCATCATCATCATCATCATCATCATCATCATCATCATCATCATCATCATCATCATCATCATCATCATCATCATCATCATCATCATCATCATATCATCATCAGCAACAGCATCATCATCATCACCATCATCATCATGAGCAGCAGCATCGGCAGCAGCACCATCATCATCATCATCATCAGCATCATCATCATCAGCAGAATCATCATCATCATCATCATCATCATCATCATCATCATCATCATCATCAGCATCATCATCATCATCATCATCATCATCATCATCATCATCATCATCATCATCATCAGCATCAGCATCACCACAATCGTCCTTATCGTCACCAGACCCACGACGACCATCATCATCATCATCATCATCATCATCATCATCATCAGCATCAGCATCAGCATCAGCATCATCATCACCATCATCACCATCATCATCATCAGCAGCAGTAGCATCATCATCATCATCATCATCACCATCATCATCGTCATCATCATCAGCATCATCATCATCCTCATCATCATCATCACCACAATCATCATCATCATCATCGTCATCAGCATCATCATCATATTCATCATCGTCATCATCATTGTCATCCTCATCCGCATCTCCATAACCATAGTAATCATCAACATCATCACCACCATCAGAATCATCATCATCGTCATCATCATCACCATCATCATCTGATCCACCATCACCATCCATCCTCATGCTCAGGATCATCATCATCCTCAACATTACCATCATCATCAGCATCAGCATCTCATCATCAGCATGATCGTCATCGTCGTCATCATCGTCGTCCGTCCTCCTCATGCTCCTCATCCTCCTCCTCTTCCTCCTCATCCTCTTCCTCATTCCCCCCCTTCCTCCCTCCCTCCCTCCCTTCCACCTCGCTCCTCCCTCCCTCCCTCCTCCCTCTTCCCTCCTCGCTCCTCCCTCCTCCACTCCTCGTCCTTATAAAGGACTCCTCCCTGTCGCACCCTGAGGCTGGTCGAACGGGCGGGCCAGGCGTGTCGCCTGAGACGTCCTTACAACTTGTGACCCTGAAGCTTCACAGATTGAGGGCAGATGGTTTTCAAAATGTGGCTGTCGCCTTCGCGCCACGCACATTCGTCTCAAAAAACTTGCGAGAGGTTCACGGATTGAAGGCGGGTGGTTTTCAAAATGTGGCTCTCGTCTTAGCGCCGCGCACATGCGTCTGTGAAAAATGGCAACAGCTTCACAGATTGAGGGCGGGTGGCTTTCAAAATGTGGCTCTCGCCTTAGCGCCGCGCCCATTCGTCTTGAAAACCTGCAAGAGTTTCACGGATGGAGGGCGGGTCGTTCTCAAAACGTGGCTCTCGCCTTAGCGCCGCGCACATTCGTATATACAAATTTGCAATATTCTCACGGGTTCCCATGGTTAACGTACCACAAACGGTGTATCGGAAAAATTCGGGATTGCTGAGGCGCAACGATTACGCTGACTCGCCGTGTTGAAGTCCCAGAAATAATGCTCTGGCACGATTCAGGACCGTCAAGACGCAACAGTCAGGTTCATTCGTGGCGTTAGTGTCCCGAGAATGCTGCTTTGGCACGCTCCAGGATCTTCAAACGGTTGTCCCAAAAACGGGGCACTTCCTTCAGTGAAAATGAACCCTTGTAGGGGCCTATGAAGAAGGAGCCTGGGGGAGGGATTCTTCAAACATCGCTGATGGGTCTTGGGTTTACACAGGTCCTTCTCCTCCTCCTCCTCCTCCTTCTCGTTCTACTCCTCCTCATAATCCATGGACGCATGCCGTTGGCACAAGCTCGCGGCAATCCAAAAATCTCCAAGCGGAAGACCTAACCAAATGCAATTGTGAAAATCGTGCTGTGGTACCGCTGTCGGTGAAACTCCCTATAACGCCACGAACCGTGTGAGTGGTGCGCCAAGTGGGCCGGCACCGCCATGCTCCGTAGAGCTCCCTATGGGCCACGAACCGTGCGAGGGGTGCACCAGCAGTATGGAGCGGCGCCGCCATGCGAACCCTGTAACTGGGGCGTTCGGTGGAGCTCCCTGCGGGGCCACGAACCGTGCGAGGGGGTGCGCCAAAGTGGGGCGGCGCCGCAATGCAGACTTTGCCAGGGGGGCCTTCGGTGGAGCTCCCTATGGGGCCACGCACTATGTGATCTCGATGCATGAACTCGTAACGCTGCTCCACTTCAACCCTCGATAGCTTCGTGCGGTGTGAGCGGTGCGCCAAGATGGGGCGGCGCCGCCATGCGAACTTTGCCACTTGGGCCTTCGGTGGAGCTCTCGACAAGATGGGACGGCGCCGCCATGCGAACTTTACCACTGGGGCTTTCGGTGGAGCTCCCTATGGGGCCACGAACCGTGCGAGGGGTGCGCCAAAATGGGGCGGCGCCTTCATGCGAACCCTGCAACTGGGGCCTTCGCTGGAGCTCCCTATGGGGCCACGAACCGTGAACCATGCGGAGGGCAGAGGCAGGGATGGGACGAGGAGGAAGGAGTTAGACGCGGGGCGCTGACTCTTCAAAACGAGAACACAACACCACAGGACAATTGGGAAAAAGTACTCATCCTCTTCCAGCTCCTCTTCCTCCTCCTCTTCCACCTCCTCCTCCTCCTCATCACCATCAACATCAGCATAACTATCATCATCGACAGAATCACAATCATCATCATCATCATCATCATCAGCAGCAGCAGTAGCAGCAGCATCATCAGCATCATCATCGTCAACATCATGTTCATCACCATCACAATCACCATCACCATCAACATTATCATCATCGTCGTCGACGTCATCATCATCAGCAGGGGCCACAGCATCATCAGCAGAAGCAGCATCATCATCAACATCAGCAGCAGCAGCAATCATCATCATCATCATCATCATCATCATCATCATCATCATCGTCATCATCTTCACCACAACGGTCATGATCATCATCACCAGCGTCGTCGTCATCATCTTCATCATCATCATCATCGTCATCATCGACATGCTTATCATGGTCGTCATCATCATCATCGTCATCATCTCCATCGTCACCATCATCACCATCACCATCATCATCACCATCACCATCATCATCGTCATCATCGCCATCACCATCACCATCAACATCACCATCACCATCATCATCATCATCATCATCATCATCATCATCATCATCATCATCATCATCATAGTAATCATCATCATCATCATCATCATCATCATCATCATGATCATGATCCTCATCATCATCACCATCAACACCAACAACATTAACATGTGCATTAGCATCAGCATCATCCTAATCATCTTCATCATTATCATCCCTATCATCATCACCACCACCGTCATCATCATCATCATCATCATCATCATCATCATCATCATCATCATCATCATCATCACAATCATCAGCATCACCATCATCACAATCATATTCATCGTCATCATCATCACCATCATCGTCAGCATAATCATAATCATCATCGTGCGCATCATCATCATCATCATCATCATCATCATCACCATCATCATAATCAGCATCATCATCATAAGCATCATCATCATCATCATCAGCATCGTCATCATCAGCATCATCAGCATCATCATAATCATCATCATCATCATCATCATCATCATCATCATCATCATCATCATCATTTGTCCCCAATCAATGCTTGCACTGGAGGGGTCCTAGCGGATCTTGAAAAATTTGACGAAATTTGGCAACCGATTTCGGTAGGCCGCCAGGTTCCTGGGTTCCCGGTTCTGGGTTCCCAGGTTCCCTGTTGCTGGTTCCAGGCCTATTTCGGTGGGCGGCGGTTCGGTTGCCGGGTTCCCGGGTTCCTGGTCGATCTCCTCATCGATCGGTCTCACCCCATCGATCGCACTACCCACCTCTCTATCGATTTCACTATCGATCTCACAAACGATATCATTATAGATCGCACGCGCGATCTCTCGATCGGTTTCATTATCGATCTCACTGAATGGGCTTTACTATCAGTCTCGCGATCGACCCCACTACAGTCCTCACTATCGATCCCACGATCGATCTTACTATCGATCTCACAATCGATCTCAAAAACTAGATCACGAACTTTCAAACCATGCACTGATTGGGCTTTTTCTCTGTCATCATCACAACCACAACCACCACCATCATCATCATCATCATCATCATCATCATCATCATCATCATCATCATCACCACAATCATCATCAGCTTCATTCATTCAGTCATTCATTCGCCTCCTCCTCCTCCACACAACTAAAAAAGCCAGGGGCTGTCGCCTTGCAGCCGCCGAAGCACTGCGTCTTCCTCCGCGGAGGGGGACCCGCCTGATGGGCGCGGCGCAGGGCGAGCGGCGGCGGCGGCGGCGTCAGCGACGGCGACGGCGGCGGCGGCGGCGGCGGCGGCGGCGACGACGACGACGACTGCGGCGACGACTGCGGCGACGACGACCGCGGGCGGCGAAGGCCACGGCGGCGACGACGACCGCAGACGACAGCGAAGACTGGCCGCGGCGGCGCGGCGGCGGCCGCGCCGAACCGCGGACCACCACGGCGGCGACGGCCGCGGGCGGTGCCGCCGGCCGAGTGACCCTCCGAGGGGCCGGCGGCCACGCCGCCCCGCGGCGAGGGGCGGGGAAAGCGAGCGAGCGGGCCGGGCCCAGTGGAAGCAGGCGGCCCAAGCTGCTCAGCGAAGCGTGGGGGATGGATCTCGGCTACACTCTGGCGTCGCAGCGCGGCAGAGGCGATCCGCTCGCGCGCTTCAGTAGCTGGGGACGCGCGACGCACGGCTTCACCGGTGGATCTCGGCTAGAGGGGGAGGAGGAGGAGGAGGAGGAGGAGGAGGAGGAGGAGGAGGAGGAGGAGGAGGAGGAGGAGGAGGAGGAGGAGGAGGAGGAGGAGGAGGAGGAGGGGGAGGGGGAGGAGGAGGAAGAGGGGGACCCCTGGTGCGCGGCTGTCGGAGGGCGCGGGCGGGCCAAGCCCGAGCGCGCAGCCACACTGCGATCGCATCGCGTTCAGCGACCGGGAGGCCCCAGTTGGCCCGCACCAGAGGTCACTCGGTCGAAAGGGGCACTCCTTGTGTGTGGTCGAGGATCGCGTGGGGCGGGTGGGTTCGGCCTGCCCGTTGCTGGGCGCGTGAGGTTTGGATCGTAGGAGGGGGTGGGTTCGACGTGTGCTTTTGGGCCAGGACGGGCCGTCAGGCGGGACGGCCATGGGGGTGTTTGTGAAACAATCTGGAGTAACCTTAGGTCATGCATGTCCCCCATACAGGCCGATTGTGGACGAGAAACAAAAAATAACCCAACATTGTTTTATAATTATATATATCAATATTATACTGTACATAAAAAACCATACTTTTATTTAAAAACATAATACTTTTATAAAAACAAAAAACTATGTCTACATCTTCCTCCTGCAGTAGGACAACCCCGACGCAAGAGCAGCCCGCGCTGCGCGCACCGCGCCGCCGCGGCGCGCGGCGCACCGCCGCCGCCTTCGCGCCCTCGCGCCGACCCACCGGCATGGAGGGAAAGGCAGCCGCTCGCTGCGGCACGGGCCGCGACGCGCGGAGCGCGGTCGCTGCTTTTCGTTTTCGTTTCGTCTTCGTTTTTATTCCCTTTCGTTCTCCGCTGTTTTCGTTATGGTTGTTTTCGTTCCCTTTGGTTCTTGTTTTCCCTCGTTTTTCGTTGTTCGTTTTCGGTTTCCCTCGTTTTGTCTTCAGTCCACCTTTCACGCAAAACGAAATCG